ACGTTAGTTTTAGATCCGTGAGTATGGATCGGTGAAGAGGATAGTTTTAGATCCATGAGTAGGGATTAGGTAAAGAGGAAAATTTTAGATATGAGAGTTTAGATCGTGTCGTTGTGAGGATCGATGGGGTGGAATAAGAGTTGTCTTTATATGGTGAAGTTGTACAAGTTTGAATGTTCCATATTCATAAATATATGATATAACATTGTGGGATGAAAACCCTATATGCTCACCAGGCTCCCAAGCCTAACCCACTCAGTTTTCTTTGTATCACAGGTATCGATACGAAGACAGATTTCATAGAGAGATTTAAAGGAGATATAAATCATTAGTGTAATTGAATGTAAGTTCTATTTATGCTTATATGTCTGTATCGGAACATGACATCCCGAGGTTTTATTATTAAATGAAAATACATTCTCTTTGAGAAATGTTTTGATAAGTTATTATCATATCTTGTTTCGGGAACAAATTCCGAAACCGTTTTCTTTAAAAGATTACTCTGATTTTATAAAACAAAGCATAAACAAATCGGTCTTTTCTCGCCGTGAAAATGGGGATGTCACAGTTGGTATCAGAGCAATAGTTTAAGCGAACTAGGAAATTGTAATAAATTTCTAGACTTAAACTTAGAATGCTAAGTAATGATTGTGAGGAGTGTGTCTAAACTATGTTAGGTAGTACACCTAAATTGACACAAGCACTAGTTTATTTTAGGAATGATGCCTAAAATGCTTTTAGGTGCTAAATGTTTTGTGTGATAGCTATATTGATGCTATTATTTGTTCGGATATATGGTTTGTTGCCGACCGGATCTGGAGACCTTATGTGTTTAGGATTCTAAGCGTACGGCTACGATATTAGAACTAGCATGTAAACGTTTCGGAGTAATAAGGATGATTTAATTATCTATCGTGATTTAGGATCTGAGTTCACCTTATTTGGTGTGTAGATCAAAAATGGTGAGAACCAGAAGTGGAGTTGGAAATGTGAACGAAGACAGGAATCAACCACCTGTGGTTGAGCAAACACCTGTTGTAGCAGCACCACCAGAGCCAATGACGATGGTTGGGGTGCAAGAGATGATACAGATGATGTTGGATTGCCAAATGGAGGAGAAAAGGCCATTACTCCAACAGAATCGTGAGGAAGTGTCACTTCAAGTGGAAGAGCCTGAAGTGAATGGAGGGCATTCGGAGGGAGGTAACTACAGTGGGATGGTTGGACGACCAGAACCCCCAGTGGTAGAAAGGAATGACCCGAAAATAGAAATAAACAGGGATGGGCGTATGTATAAGAATTTCTTGTGCGCCAAACCCCCAAGTCTTTCTGGGAGCCCAAAGCCTATAGAGATTATGGACTGGATCTCCGAAATGGAGATGGTGTTTGAAAGTTGCGACTGTAGCAACAAACATAAGACTGTCTTTGCCGTTAGACAACTGAAAACTGGAGTCTTGAGCTGGTGGAAGCTACTGGCAGAAGCACTAAGGATGTCTTGGGAATCATTCCTTGAGCAGTTAAAGATGCAGTACTGCTCAGAGATATATCTGATTGATTTGAACAATGAATTCCACAACCTGAAGAAAAGTAAATTGAGCATTGATGATTATGCTACGGCATTTACCGAAAAGATGAAGTTGTTTACGTACTTAGTGCCAACTGAACTCTCAAAAATTGATAGGTTCGCAAATGGACTGCCTGTCGGCTTTGGCCCAACGGTCAAGATGGCAACTACTTTGAAGACAACAATCCGAGCAGCTAGAAATGTGGAGACCCAGTTAAAGGAAAGGGGTCTGAAGAGAATCGAGGTGGGCAAGAAAAAGAAAGATTGAAGGATCTTCAAGGTCCGATGAGAAGAGAAAATTTTCGAAGTCTGATTCGAAGAAGCTCGAAGAAGGAGCACAATGGTGTGACAAGTGCAAAAGGAAGCACATTGGGGAATGCTCTAAAGAAATGACCTGCTTCAAATGCGGGAAGACTGGTCATTACGCCAGCAAATGCCCAAACAAAAGAGAAGCCTACTTTAAGTGTGGTGAAGAAGGACACTTCAAAACAAAACTGCCCAAAAAGGGAAGAAATTACAAAGCCAAATGTGCCGCCAAAGCCAAAGGCAAGAGCATTTCAAATGATCCTTGATGAAGTAGATGGCAATGCAAGGAATCAGGAATAAGGATTTTATATCTAAAGATCAAGTTATAAAGTAGCAATATTAAAAGTAACATGTTGTGTAGCCTATTAGAGGCATAGTATAGGGTGAACTTGAACTTTTGTGTAATCGTTTCAAGGAATTATTATAAACCCTAGTTTTGCAAACTGATGTGTTGAATGATTGTCTGATTTTCTTGTATGCTGACTTGGTCGACTGTGGGACTACACTTGGGACGAGTATGAGTAGGTGTGAAAGGTAATAGATGCATATACTACCGGAAGCACAGGACTCGCACTTGGATCAGGGAAAGTCACAAGGTTACCAAGAAGCTAGTAATTGATTCCATTTTATTCTGGTATGTCATTACCATTGTTTCGGTAATTACTTGTAAGATGGTTCTTGTTCCGACCCTAGTGGTCATATTTAAATTTGAGTTCGACTACGAGGAGTATGTTACGTTGTCTAGAGGACCAAGTTAGATGTAACATTTGACTTAAGTCAGAAGGTTGAAGTTAATGCGATTGATAGTGTCTTGCTCGTTGTTAAAATAAGTTTGCAGGTAGAAATGCTACATGCTGAAATGTGATTATATCACATTAGAATATGAAGAAAGGTATATTCCATTATGGAATTTAACTTTATTAAAGACCAAGTCTAAGCGTCGCATCGTGCGATGAGAGGTCAATAGAGCACGACCCATCGGTTTTTTTACAATAGATAAATGAAAGTATTTATCCTGAGAAGAAGAAGGAGTCCATAATAAGGACTTATTTGCTAGCTTGAAGGTTACGATTGAATGTACAACCTTGTACGATAAGCAGATGCAAGATTGGGCATCTTTTGCAGTCAAGAAAGCCATAGAGTTAAATACTCTTTCGAGGAAACATAAAAGTTATGGTTATTACCTAGAATGAAGAAATAATGTGTGGAATCATTATGCAAGTCCTATTTTGTTGATGATTCCAGGACGTAATCATCCTAAGGGGGAGATAATTGTAACGCCCGTAGATCAGGGTACTCAATTTAGAGACGATAGACGTCAAAAATGAATTTTTGATGAAAGATTATTTAGAATTAATAATCTTAATTAAGTTATAGTATATATTACAAGGTTTCCGTGCATATAAAGAACGCCGAAATCTGAGTTATAACGAAGAAGTTATGATCTGTCGAAGTTTCGCGATAAAACTGGCACGACATAGCGCGACGTAAATAGTGAATTTACGTTAGAGTAATATTTAGCCTTAGCAATCTAAACGAAAGTTATAGAGTTCGTTAAACTGTGAGCGTGCATCAAAAGAACGTCCAAATCTGACTCAGTATGAGGAAGTTATGATTTTTCTAAGTTTCAGCTTAGTAGTATGCAACCCGAATACTCGATTTGAGATCGAGCAGTTTTTAGCCGAAACAATTTAAAAGAGAATTGAAGATCTCGTTAATCGTAGTAAAACTATAAAAAGATAGGCGAAAACGGACGCCGGATGAAGAAGTTATGAATTTATAACGAAGTTTTTCTGTCCCGGCCTACGAAAAATAAATAATAAAAATATATTCAAAATTAGCCGACAGAGTCTAAACGAAAGTTGTAGAGCGTAGTCTCACCTACGCAGGGATATAAAGAACGTCGAAAACGGAGTTCGTATGAGGAAGATATGAATTTTTGAAGTTTATTAAAGATTTTCGATATTAAATTTAAATATAAATTTTCGATATTATCAAGGGGGGGAGTCACCGGGCTTATCCAGGTTACGCCCAGCGTAACCTAAGATTACGCCCAACGTAATGTGGGTTTCAGCCCCCTATAAAAGGAATTCGAGGCAGCCTTATTCCTTTGCTCATTTCTCTTCTTTCTCTAGCGTTTTTGCATCGTTTTTCGTGCAAGAATTATCCCGAAGCCCCGGTATCATTCCCGAGCCCCGAAGCAAGTCCCGAGGCCCCGAAGATCCCGATAAGTGCGATTCCCGAGCCGAAGCTCTGCCTACGAGGAGCCTGGTTTTTGTGAAGATCTTCCAGATCTACCGAAGAATACTACTTCTACAAGTCGTAGTGTTGTCCGATCATCTTCTAATCAAGTGAATGTGTGGTTAGTTTCTTCTAACGCATAATTATGAAGTATTTTATACGAAATACGTGTTATGTGTATAACTTTTTTGTTATGTGTTTGAATGTATATTCACTTTCTTCTGTCTCATAGATTTGATTTATTCTCTATGAAATACGTGTTATGTGTGTGTGCCTCATCTGTTATGTGGAATAGATATTGAATGAGAATGCTATACATGTTTTAAACTATGTATAAAAATATATATTTTTATCTACTAATATATTGGCACTACTAGAAAAACAGCATTTTATGACGCTCATTGCGCGTTGTAAAAGGCTCAGACGACGCGCAAATGCGCGTCAAGGAAGGCCCTGTCATAAAGGAAGACGACACACTTTTGCGCGTCGTCTATAGACGACGCGCATTTACGACGCTCATTTACGACACGCAATTTGTATCAAGGAAGGCCCTGTCATAAAGGAAGACAACACGCATTCGCGTGTCGTAACCTTACGACGCGCGTGTTAATGACACGCAATGCGTATCAAGAAAGCCCCTGTCAAGAAAGGCCATGTCATAAATGAAGATGACACACATTTTTGCGTATCATAATTTTAAATGTTTAAAAAAAGTATTATTTATATATTTACTAATTGTCAAATTAAATAATACATTAAAAATCTCATAATACAAAATAAAATACCATAAATAACAAAGATAATTCATTTCACTAATATGTCAAATACAAATAATTATTCCAATAGTGAGTAAATGTTATAAAAAAAAATGAACTCATTTATATACAAGTGCATTATCTAGCTAGCTTACTATGTGCCAACAACTCTCTGTGTGTTTACTTTTGCTTGAGTCTCGTTTCCTCCAAGGCTTCTAGCCATGCCAAAATATGATATCTTAGGGTTCATGTCCAAATCAAGTAAAACATTGCTAGCTTAAATTCATCAAGTCCTTGGCGTGAAGTCTTAGATAGAATCTTAACTGCAATCTCCAATCCTTCTACCAGACCCTAAAGATCATTATTGGCCATGTACCAGGATCAACCTGCAATCTCTTATTACTTGCAGCATCTTCTACCTGTTTGACCAAGGTTATGCCTTCAGCAACAACATGCTGCATTGCGTCAAAAAGATAAAAACAAATGACAACAAATACAAATAACTGCATTCTACTTTAAAAAAAATAGAATCCAACTCCTAAATCACAAAACCTTTTTAAACATACAAGAGACAGGATCCAATCCGTGGGGTATTTTTGGAAAATAGTCTGAACATTCTTGACAAATCCTCAACCTGCAAGTGAAGGGTAGAAAGGGAATTAGAGCTTGGTGATGCTCATGCTGGTAATTGAAGCTTCAAACGCCAAGCCGGGTAGGTGATGCTCATGCTGGAAATTTAAGCTTGGAATTGCTTTTCCAATTGTACGTACTCATACACATGAGATGAGAATAAGAAACTATTGTATTTGATTAGGTTTAGCAAATAATAAGCTAAGGAAGGGGAATGTGCTAAGAAGTTATTATGTATAGAATGAGAAAGAATAATAACCAAAAATCCTGTCTTAGACTTATTAACTTTTCACCTATTTGTCTTTCTTCCTAAAAATATTCATTTGATCTGAAAAAATATTATGAAACTTGGTTTATTGAAAGCAAGTATTAAATGGTCATGGTCATGGTCATGTAATGTAGTAGTAGTCTTATTCAATCTGGAAAATTGCAAATTTTGTCCCACTGCCACCCAGGCGAAGGTAAAGACGTAAATGCCCTTCCTCATAAAGCCTGTGTTAGTATGATTATGCTTAAAGTAAAAGACAGAACAGAAAGAATGGGAATGGAGGTTGAGTACCTTATGAAGTAATAGTAGAAGAAATCAGCATAAAGAGCTGTTTGTATTAAGCCACAGAAACAGGCTGAAAACAAACAAACAAACAAACAAACAAACAAAAAGTCAAATGAAATACATGTATAGACAATAAGAATAAGAGAAAAGCTTTAACTTACATATCCATCCATTGAAATGGGGCTGTGTGAGATACCAAAAAATCCAGTTGAGAATATTCAATGCACGGTATGCCCTAACAGTACAATGCAAACAAACATATTTTCATTCATAGCATCCTATTTTCTAAATGATTATTATACTATTTTTGATCATTTAAAAAACCATTTTTCATGGTTATCCAGCTTCATAATGATATCATGCCAAAATATAGAAGGGAGAATACCCAAGAAAGAAAACATATTGACCGATCAAATTGTCAACATTTCCACTTCGCTGCAGCAGAACCAACTGTGGGAGAATACCAAATGGATAGAAAATGCCCAACATATCTGCACATTCCTAATAATATTAAAATTGTACAACCTTATCTATTGCTACATTTTTATATCTTTATAACACTCCAATTAGGCTAAGCTTTTTTTGAGGAGGGCATTCAGGTCTTTTGGACAAGAGCCAGTCCATGTTCTTTTCATATCTTCTTAATAATCAATATAACCGCACTTATTCTCATATATAATTTTGTAATGATTAATTGATTATAACATGTTTCAGCACAAAGACAATGAATTAACTTAACTGTAGTCTGCTTATAATCCTGGCACAAGGTGAAATCTTTATAACATCAGGTGAGTCCACACTGATATTCAAACATAAAACAAGAGCAACACATCCTGTTTTCATCTGCAGTTAAAAAACATCATTTTAGAGCTAACTATAAAGAAATACACTACCAATAACAACCCAACAAATCATAGCCTCTGATTTCAAATGCATAGCTGTATTAGCAACGAATGATCACAATTACAAGAACAGCAACACTAATAGCATGTTGGGTTTAGCATATAGCAACAGAAGCCTCCAGCAAATCTCTAAAGCAAATTACTTTGACGATCATGTGAACTCCAACTAACAAAACTAAACCACCCACTACAAGCTTTTTTCTTAATAACTGTTGGTGCAAGTAAGCCAGGTATGGCAAAATACAGCTTTATGTGGCAAGCATACATGATTACAGGTTACCCTACTCATCTAATCAGTAATAGTGGGAAACTAATAGGTCCATTAGAAACAAGGCATACACCTTGTCTGATAGCAGATTATCTCATAAGCATATAAAATGCAAAAGGAAATCGAAAATGATGAAAGGGTAAATGCAGGAAACAACAGATTACCCGGTCCTTAGGCCGCCATTTGGAGACTAACCCACTTTCAGCAGGAAACAAGATCACCTTTTTATTCTCACAGTTTCATCAAGTGGCTTACATATACTTTTTAGCCATTGCAACTCTCAATCAGCTTCCTCCTCTTGTAGTCTTTGGAAGAACAGTCTCTCTCTTCCCTCTCCTTTTTATTCTCACAGTAAATGCTATAAAAGATGGATACGAGGATTGGAGAAGACACAGATCAGACAGAAATGAGAACAACAAAGAATCTCTTGTGACAATCCCTTGTGACATGGTGCTAATGTGGATAAGTGATCCTAGTGGCATTGCTTACATACAAACCATGAATTTAGATGGAGAGTCGAATTTAAAGACACGTTATGCTAGACAAGAAACATCCTTAATGCCATTAGGGTCAATATCAGGGGTAATTAGATGTGAACAACCTAATAGAAACATATATGAGTTCACAACTAATAGAGTTAAATGGTCATAAAGTTTCCCTTAGTCAATCAAACATTATCTTACGTGGGTGTCAGGTGAAAAACACAAAATGGGTTATAGGTGTTGTTGTGTATGCTGGACAAGAGACAAAAGCTATGCTAAATAGTGCAATTTCCCCTTCAAAAAGAAGCAGACTTGAATAAGCAATGAACTCAGAAACTATCTGGTTATGTGTTTTTCTATTCATATTGTGTCTTGTTGTTGCTATTGGGATGTGTTTATGGCTGATGAGTCATCAGGATGCAATTGATACGATTCCTTATTACAGAAAGAGCTATCTTATAAAGGGAAAGTTTCCAGGAAAACCGTATAAATACTATGGGATTCCAATGGAGATGTTTTTTGCGTTTTTGAGTTCTGTTATTGTGTTTCAGATCATGATTCCGATATCCTTATACATCACCATGGAATTGGTTCGATTAGGTCAATCTTATTTCATGATAGAAGACAAACACATGTATGATAGCAGTACAAACTCAAGGTTTCAATGCAGATCCTTAAGTATAAATGAAGATTTAGGTCAAATTTGTTATGTATTTTTCTGATAAAACTGGATCACTTACTGAAAACAAAATGGAATTCAGAAAAGCTTCTATTTTGACACGTGTATATATACTGTGTGTTTACTTGATTTCTTCAATTTTACCCCAGACCATGACTATTGACTAGCCTCTAATATCAGGTGCGCATGCTGAAATGGTGTTGACACGTGTATATATATACTGTGTGTGTTGAAGAATAGTTGAAATGAAAAACTTACATGCCAACTAGAAATGGCTCTACATAAGAAAACAAGTGAACTTAAATCCACTGATGTGTTCACTTTCACCTGCAAACCAAAAAAACATAAGTAAGTTTCTGCTTCAAATCAAACCAAAAGTCAAAACCAAACAAAAGCAGATGCATACCATTGCACAGAGACCTCGAAAAGCATCCTCCTTTTGAATATCATCCTGAATTTTGTTGACATTAAGAAATTTAAGTATTGTCAAATGATGTTGTAAGTAAAAATTGTAAGAAAAAGGAAATGAGGTTGAAGTTGTAAAAATTTTGGGACTTACATGGCTAAAGCTGTTGGATAAGGTGTCTAAGTCCATAACTATTTCTGGTATGTACTTGACCCGACCCGGCATGGTCCATTTGGGTTGCATGGCACCATGCAATTGGATAGACTAAATGAGAGAAATAACACTTGGAGATTATTAATATATTATAAGTTCTAATATATTAATAATATTATTTGATTAGTTTGATCAAGAATTAATTTAGAATTAATTAAGTGATCAAAAGATAACTAATTAAATATATGGGTTGATTATGTAAATCATCCATATCTTGTATAGTGGGCTAAAAGGCTCCATGGACTATCAAGTTGGGTTCCACCCATAGGATGCTCCATGGATGCTCCATGGGAGTTACAAACCCATGGGTCATGGAAATGAAGAGTCATGACACATTAGGGTTTAACCCTAGATGTGTCAACACTATATAAGTAACATGTTCTCCACCCAAAATCGGCTACACTAAGAAATAAGAGGGCTTGGCCGATTTTGAGAAGTGTGTGTTCTCTCATAAGTTCTTCCAAGAGCATTTGGTGTTGTGTGAAGCATTTGAGGCATCACACTTGGGGTGCTAGGCTCACAAGGTTTCAAGGAACACAAACAACAACAAGGTAAGTTATTCTATCTATACTTTAAGTTAAAATTGTTCCCCATGTATGCTAGATAGGAATATAACCTTGGAATTCAACTTTGCATGACAATTAGACAAACATAGATCCAAGGTTATTAGGGTTGCATGTACACTTAGGAAGTGTTAGAATGCTCAAAACCCATCAGTGGTATCAGAGCCTAGGCTTGTTTGCTCTTATTTGTGCTTAAAAGTTGAAAACAGAATCGAAATCTTGCTGTCTGCGAATGGACTCGTCGAGTCTATAGGGGGGACTCGTCGAGTTCATGAGTATCTTCAACCAACTCGGCGAGTCAGTTCATGCACTCGGCGAGTAGGGTCGACTGAGTGCAGAATTTCGATTCAGTTGCTGGAAATGAATTAGAAACATTACCCTAAACTGTTTTGGTAATTGAAAACTTGTTTTTGGTGGTGTAATGTCTTTGCTAATTCATTTACAACAACTAGTTATCAAAATTACAAAGTTTTAAATGTAATTTTTGATTGTGTTCATATTCATGTTCTTGTTCTTATGATGTTTTAGATGATCATAGGAATTATTTGTAACCTATGTGGTAGATTAATTCTTGATCATAATGTGTTTTAATGGAGTCCATAACTTATCCTTAAGTTATGGAAAACCAAGAGTCACACTTGAGTTAAAACCATTAAAAAACACAAGAGTTAGAAAAATGAAGAGTCTTCATTTTATTACTCTATTAAACTCATAAGTTACAAGAAATGAAAAGTTTTGAAAGTTACAAAACTTGCCCTCAAGTTTTGGAACAAGTAAAGTTAAGTTAAAACTTTAAGTTCCAACCCCTAGAATTTTAAAAGTTAAAATTCAACCCTTATACTTATATTATGATAATTTAATATATATATATATATATATATATATATATATATATATATATATATGTATAAGAATAAAGTCGTCTTACCGCTAGTACGCCTCATTCACGAAGCCGGTCTATAAGGTGGGTATAAGGTTGTTGCCTATAAAATGGTGACTTAATGGGTGTATATTCTCACCCACCGCTTGCTTGACTGGTGGAGGGTCGTTAGCCGAACGGGTAAGACAAGGACTTATAAATTCTCATTCAAAGTATGATGAATATAATAAAGTAACTAAATGTTTATTAAATTCCCAATCTTAGTTACTTTAGGAAAATGTGAATAAGGTGCTAATCCATGAAATTACACTTTACACTTTGTCTAAGTCGTTGGTGGAGCGTGTGTGGTTAACCGGCACACTAACTTGGACTTAACAAGGTAGGTAAAGGGTGACTTAAGGTTTATTATAGTATCGGTGGAGCGTGTGTGGTTTACCGGCACATCGATTGAGTGATAAACTTTAAGGGTACCAAGTGATTTGCATGGTTACTTCACACCTCGTTTTGTGATCCTCGGCATCCCAGTCACAAAACTTGGAGGGCACTCTCGAGATTGAAACATGCCTTTGAAAAGTTCATTGGATCTCAAAGAATCTAGGAATTTCTAAAACCAATAAAAACTAAATATCTAATATTTCGGTTTTCGTGGTGGAAATTGGTGAATCGTCATTCACCTACCTTTCAAATATGGTATAGCTTAGATTACGGCATACCTCTTCTAAGTTATATTATATTGTGATTGGATCCTAGCCTTAATATTACATTTGGGTGTTTTATTAAGGACTCTCTTAAATCTAAACTAAACTTGTTCTTCTCTTTCAGATGTCTTCAAATAATGCTTCTGGCTCGAATCCTAATGGCTCCTTTACTCTTATGAGTTTGTGTGGGAAAGTCACCTTTGATGGATCCAACTTCAATAAATGGATCAGAAACATCAGGATGATTACCCGCTACGAGGACAAAGAATATGTCCTTGACAAGGAGCTTAAGGAAATTGATGAGTCCACTGCAACTCCCAGGAGATCGCTGACTTTCATACTCATGAAAGAGATGCAACCAAGGTGGCTTGCATCATGTTGGCCACATGACAGCTGAACTCCAAAAGTCTTATGAAGATTTCTACCCTTATGAAATGCACCAAGATTTGATGGAAAGATACCATCAAAGTGCACGACAAGAGAGGTACGAAGTCATCTGCTCCATGATAACAACCATGATGAAGGACGGAGAGTCCGTCACGAGCCACATGCAGAAAATGCAAAGGTATGTGGATCGTTTGCTGAAGCTCAATGTGAACTTCCCTGAGGAGCTTGCAATAGATATCATTTTGCACTCCTTACCATCGTGCTATGATCAATTCCGCATGACATATCACATGAACAAGGAAGAGGTCACCCTCAGCAAACTTCAGGGACTTCTCAAGACCGCAGAAACAGGTCTTAAGGGGAAGTCGGTTGCTATCACTCCTACTCCAGACTCAACTCCGGTCTTGGCAATCGGGCAAAGTCGAGGGAGGAAGAGAAAGAGATCTTCGAAGGGTACCAAGGCTCGGACCCTTGATGGCTCTTCTTCAAGTGGAACCAAGAAAGGTTTCATTACTCCTTCTTCTGACCCAAAAGAGGCTGAATGCTTCTATTGCCATGAAAAAGCTCATTGGAAGCGGAACTGCCCAAAGTACCAGCAGGATGTGAAGGATGGGAAAGTCAAACCCAACCATGCAGGTATTTACACTATCATTTCTAATAACTCACCCCATTCGAAATCTTGGGTCCTTGATACCGGTTGCGGTATTCATATTTGTTGTGACTTGCAGGGACTAGGAAGAAGTGAGAATGTGGAGCAAGGAAGAATAAACTTAATCATGGGGAATAGGAAAGTTACACCTGTCACCAAGATTGGAGTTTATACTTTATCGCTAAGTAGTGGGTTAAATTTAGATTTGAATAAATGTTGTTATTCGCCAGAAATGGCAAGAAATATTATTTCCTTTCATGCATTGTACAAACAAGGTTTCACCTTTTCGTTTGATAATGAAGTTGGTTCGATTAATGCTTTCTTTAATAATGTACTTTATTTTAAAGCATTACCTTGTGATGGTGTGTATGAAGCTGTATCTGTTGTAGATAACTTAGGAAATAATGTTTTGTGTATTGATTCTACTAATAATAATAACTTGGATAAAGCATCATTATGGCATTGTCGTCTTGGACATATAAGCAAGAAACGCATAGGCCAACTCCAAAAGGATGGAGTCTTGGAGTCGTTTGACCTAAAGTCAAATGATAGTTGCGAATCATGCTTACTTGGAAAAATGACAAAGTCACCCTTCACAGGCTCGTGTGAAAGGGGTGAAGGTTTGTTGGACCTTATACACACGGATGTGTGTGGACCATTCAAACATGCCACAAGGGATGCTAATCGTTATTATTTGACTTTTACTGATGATTACAGTAGATATGGATATGTCTACTTAATCAAGCATAAGTCAGAGACTTTCGAGAAGTTTAAGGAATTTAAACAGGAAGTCGAGAATCAATTGGGCAGGAACATTAAGATGCTTCGATCCGATCGGGTGGTGAGTATCTTAGTTCAGAGTTCCTCGACTATCTAAGGGAATGTGGGATTGTCTCACAATTGACACCTCCCAGGACACCGCAGTTGAATGGTGTGGCTGAGAGGCGTAATCGAACCTTGTTGGACATGGTTCGTTCCATGATGAGTCGAGCTTCGCTACCAATCTCATTCTGGGGGTATGCCTTAGAGACTGCCGCCCATATCCTTAATCTAGTCCCTACAAAGAAAGTTGCCAAAACTCCTCACGAGATGTGGACTGGTAAAGTACCTAAACTAGACCACATCAAGATTTGGGGTTGCGAGGCTTTCGTGAGACGCGAGACTCATGATAAGCTCGAACCCCGAAGCGAGAGGTGTATTTTCATCGGCTACCCACAGCAATCCTTTGGTTACCTCTTCTACAGACCTAGTGACAATGTGGTCTTTGTAGCAAGAAGAGGAGTCTTTCGAGAAAGAGAGTTTATAAGCCAAGGAGACAGTGGGAGGCAAGTTGATCTTGAAGAAATTCAAGAGTCAAGTGGTGAAGGAACTTCAAACTCTAGCCCTCAACTTGAGGAGGAAACTCCTGTTGAGCCAATTGACGAATCTGTACCTCTGAGGCGTTCCACGAGAGTTAGGAGTGCACCTGAGCATTACTATGGATTCCATATTACTGCAGAAGGTGAGACACTTATTAGTGATGGACACTAGTAAGTCAAGATGACCCTAACAGCTACGAGGAAGCCATGGCAGGCCCCGAGTCTGCTAAATGGAAAGAGGCTATGGATAGCGAGATACAATCCATGTATGACAATCAAGTTTGGAACTTGGTTGAGAATGTACCAGGTCGAAAGACTGTAGGGTGCAAATGGGTCTTCAAGAAGAAGACCGACATGGATGGTAAAGTACACACTTATAAGGCTAGACTGGTTGCAAAGGGCTTCTCTCAAATTCCTGGAGTGGATTATGATGAGACCTTTTCTCCGGTAGCCAAGATTAAGTCTATTCGGGTTCTGTTAGCCATAGCCGCATTTCATGACTATGAAATTTGGCAAATGGATGTCAAAACCGCTTTCCTTAATGGAAAGTTGGCTGAAGATGTTTACATGAGTCAGCCAGAGGGTTTTGTCAGCAACGAGTACCCTAATAGAGTGTGTAAGCTTGAGAAATCCATTTATGGATTAAAGCAAGCACCTCGCAGATGGAATCTTTGCTTTGATGAAAAGGTCAAGGAATTTGGCTTTTCTAGGAGTGAAGATGAATCTTGTGTATATGTCAAGGCTAGTGGGAGTATAGTTAGCTTTTTGGTATTGTATGTGGATGACATACTACTCATAGGAAACGACATTCCAACCCTGCAGGAAGTAAAGTCCTGGCTTGGAAAGTGTTTCGCTATGAAGGACCTTGGTGAAGCTGCCTATATTTTGGGGATAAGGATCTTGAGAGATCGGAGTAAAAGACTAATTGGACTTAGTCAAAGTACCTACTTGGAGAAGGTTCTGAAGAGATTCAGAATGCAAGACTCCAAGAAAGGAGAGTTGCCCATCCAGAGTAACGCCAAACTGAGTAAGACACAAAGCCCTAGCACTGAGGCTGAGATAGCACAAATGAGTCGAGTACCTTATGCTTCGGCTGTAGGATCGATCATGTATGCTATGACGTGTACTCGACCTGATGTAGCTTTTGCCCTGAGCATGGTTAGCAGGTTTCAGGGGAACCCTGGCAAGGCACACTGGACTGCGGTAAAGAATATTCTCAAGTACCTACGAAGGACTAAGGACTGGGTCCTTACCCTCGGTGGGAGTGATGACTTGAGAGTTGTAGGGTATAGTGATGCTAGCTTCCAGACTGATAGGGATAACTTCCGCTCTCAGTCGGGCTGGGTCTTTACCCTAAATGGAGGAGCAATTTCTTGGAAGAGTTCCAAGCAAGAGACAGTGGCAGATTCTACTTGTGAATCAGAGTATATTGCAGCTAGCGAGGCGGCAAAGGAGGCGTTATGGCTGAGGAACTTCATTGGAGACCTTGGAGTTGTACCAGCTATTAAAGAGCCAATGGAAATTTTCTGTGATAGTGAAAGTGCTGTTGCCTTAGCCAAGGAACCAAGGGATCACGGGAGATCCAGACACATCGACAGAAAATACCATTTCATCAGACATCGGATCGAAGAAGGACTCCTCGTGGCAAAGAGGGTATCATCAGATGAGAATCCGGCAGATCCCCTCACGAAGGGACTGACTCGGGTTAAGCATCTCCAGCATGCTCGGAGCATAGGGCTGAAGGATGATATTAGATTTAGTAGTTAGATAACCTCGAAATTTGTAAAGTGTAATTGACATTTGATGATGAATAAAAGTGTTTTATTTATGAGTAAAGTGTTGCTATCTCTTGTCGATCGTTTACTATATTTCTTTTGCATGTTTTGACTTCCAGAATAATTTTGTTTGGTATAACATATTATTCAAACCTCCACAGTCGGTCATATGTCGGAAGTAGGTATGAATCAAGACTGTCATGTTTGGTTGTAGAGGTCTGGGACAAGGCTACAACAATCATGAGTGCTCATAAGTTCTGAGCATTGGACTCAACCCACGCTCACTGGAATCACTTCATGGAATTCTATCTCGAGTGATCGTGAGACGGTAATATCATATAAGTCTTTAAACCTAGAGATATGATTTGTTACTTACAAGTTGGTTATGCATTGATTGTACGAAAAACGCATTGGTAACTCGATGTTATAAATCGCGCTCTTGTGTGTAATTCAATGAGTAGTAGAACAAACATATGAGTCGAAGTTTATCTGTTCCTTCTTGGATTAGAAGCTGATATCTGGGCCCCTCGATGATTTTGTTTTGACCTATGTACCGGGCCCGGTCAGAACTAAATTGATGTGTTCAATGAAGTTCTTTGTCAAACAAATCGGAAATCGGGAAACAAATGTTGGACAATAAGTAAGACATTGTTCCATGTATTTGTCCGACTGATATCTAGAACAGAGGATTATATGATCACTTATCTTAAATGGCGTACCATCATCTTCTCAGTTTCGAGAAACCTTGAAAAGAGCTACGATTGCCGATCGGTTCCTGAAGTCATACTTGCAGTAATAGTTATTAGACTTATCCAAGTGGGAGACTGTTGGATAAGGTGTCTAAGTCCATAACTATTTCTGGTATGTACTTGACCCGACCCGGCATGGTCCATTTGGGTTGCATGGCACCATGCAATTGGATAGACTAAATGAGAGAAATAACACTTGGAGATTATTAATATATTATAAGTTCTAATATATTAATAATATTATTTGATTAGTTTGATCAAGAATTAATTTAGAATTAATTAAGTGATCAAAAGATAACTAATTAAATATATGGGTTGATTATGTAAATCATCCATATCTTGTATAGTGGGCTAAAAGGCTCCATGGACTATCAAGTTGGGTTCCACCCATAGGATGCTCCATGGATGCTCCATGGGAGTTACAAACCCATGGGTCATGGAAATGAAGAGTCATGACACATTAGGGTTTAACCCTAGATGTGTCAACACTATATAAGTAACATGTTCTCCACCCAAAATCGGCTACACTAAGAAATAAGAGGGCTTGGCCGATTTTGAGAAGTGTGTGTTCTCTCATAAGTTCTTCCAAGAGCATTTGGTGTTGTGTGAAGCATTTGAGGCATCACACTTGGGGTGCTAGGCTCACAAGGTTTCAAGGAACACAAACAACAACAAGGTAAGTTATTCTATCTATACTTTAAGTTAAAATTGTTCCCCATGTATGCTAGATAGGAATATAACCTTGGAATTCAACTTTGCATGACAATTAGACAAACATAGATCCAAGGTTATTAGGGTTGCATGTACACTTAGGAAGTGTTAGAATGCTCAAAACCCATCAAAAGCAATATGCCATGCTTGCATGAAATGCTCCGTGTGAGGTGATACAAGCTGAGGACAAACTCATGCAAGTCTACACAGGGTGATTGCACTATTTTAAGTGACTTATTAAGCCCTTCACAAATAACATCAAAAAATACTAGATGATGATTTGTTGTTGGACCGAATTACCCCTTCACTCGTCTTGGGTGTGCGGATAATGAACTTGTTTTCATCTATTATAACAGCAAGAGTCATGGCTCTGGCCAAGTTTGCTGGCTGTAAAATACGAACGGCCGAACGTGTGTCATCCTTGAGACCATTAAAGAAGGTACCTTCCAACACGCTTTCTGGTATGTCTCCCAACTGACATGATAGTCTCTCAAAATTGCTTACATAGTCACGTACAGTTCCTTCTTGTCGGATGGCGAGAAACTGATGATACAGATTGCCTTCACCTGTTAACTTGAATCGCTCCAACAGCAGTTCTTTTAAATCCTCCCAAGAGAGGAATGCTCCAACGAAACCAAGCCAGCGCGATCACGTACACCAATGTCTTAGATCTCAAAGAAACGCTCCACCTTATAAATCCATCCAAACGTGTCTTCCCCTTCGAAAATAGGAGCTTTAATCTTCCGAAATTCTCCCATTTGTCGACCCCCACCCTACTTCTTATCGTCCTTGGGTCCCTTTTTGAAGGATCCAAACTCGAGCTCAAATTCAGGATCTTCCTTGTCCTTCTCCTCCTCTTGAATGAGTTTCCCCTTGACAGTTTTCGTCAAGTTATTGATAGCTTGCAGGACTTCTGTGAATTGTGCAGTATTCTCCTTCTTGGCGAGGTCAGCTTCCCCTCGAAGCTTGGTAAGATCCTGCTCCAGGGCTGCAACACCTGCCTCCAATCCAGCTATCTTCTCAGAATTTGTTTTTGACATGTTGACACCAGAACCGTAGCAGCTTTGATACCAATTAATAGGTTCAAGATCCTAATCCGCAGGTAGGAACCTTAACCAGGCCTCCTGTAGTTCCAGAAACAAGGAATTCTCCAGCAAATCGTCTGAGACTTTTATTCCAGCATAAAACGTGATTTATCCCTAGAACATTAATTATATAGTCGTATTAACCTAATCATAATCCAAAACCAGATCCTAAAAAATAGGAATTCTAAACTAAATAAAAAACTATTATTCTAATTAAAAGGAAAAGGAAAACATTTAAAAAAATTCTTTCTTGAATCTTGATGATTATCCCTTTGTCGATATACTTGACCAAAACGACCAACATGGGTCGTATCAGATGATAAACAATAACAAATAAATAAATAAAGGACATTTGACACTTATAAAAAAGATAACTGATACTTGTCGCCATACCAGTTAATTAGCAGCAACCTCAAGAAACTCAGCTAGGCGTGGGTGCAAATGAGTTGGACAAACCTACTAAAAAAAACACCAAAAAAAGTTAATATATAGTTAACATAAACCATTGTTAACAACTAGGCGTAATGAAATTGGACGACTATATTCCCAAATTACCCTTGCCAGGTCTCCAAGCAATGCAAATTGATATCTCGTACAATAGTTTTGAGTCCAACTCCATCAGTGTGTGCTTTTGAATGAATTCCTTGGGATAAACCTTCCATATACGCTCTGTTATCCCTTTCCTTTTTGAACAAAACACCATAGCGAGACTCCAAATATGTAATAATAATCGATCGATAGAGTTTCTACATAAGTTGCAGGTGATCAAAAATGGCGGAAATCAGGAAATGTAAATTGTACCTTTAGCGAGATTAGGGTAAAGCCATCAAGAATTAAAGCCATCATTACCTGTGGGAGACCTAGGGGAAGTTGATCGCCTCTATCCACCTGCCAAGAAAGTGAATCGTCTTCCCGTAAGTTTTTAGCGCTTTCACCCGATCTTGCCGCTCAATCGGACCAGGGACGCCGGGAAGGAAAAGGACGTCGCTCTTCACCTCATACTCGTGGATGTGCCACATCGGCTTTTCTGAGTCCGGCAAGGTTAAGAACAGTTTTTATGTTATGATGTTTTCAAATCCTATTAACCAGGCATCGGCGACTGGACGGTCGTAGATCAAGCACTATCTCATATCCTCGTTTTGATGGCGACGGAGACGGCGGCATAAATGGAAGGGGGATATCAGAGCACAAAATAGAGAGACAGGGGAGGCGGGAGAGAAAAGAGTCGAATGAGTGTTTAAAAAAGCCCTAGAAATTATCCTAATGATTTTCTGATATATGAATTGTTGAGGTATAGAATAGAGATGGTATCGTGATTAGGGTTTGCAGAGAAAAGGGAAGAATAGAACGAAGGGGATCTTGAAGTGGGATATTAAAATTTTTCAGAATTTGGAGGGGATTTCATTTCCCCCTTTCAAGAACACGCGTTTTAGTAAAAATCATAAAGCGACAATCACAGAGGACGCACGTTTTAGATAAAGTGCCCTCCGTGTTTTTTTTTTTTTTTTTACATTAGACACTAATTTAAGGGCACGCAATAATGCGTGACCTAAATCCTCAAAATTTTTGAACAGACGACACGTTTTTATTGTCACTCTCTTTTGCATAACATAAATCAGTGAGCGTCGTGATTTGCGCGTCGTGAAGGGTCTTTTTCTTGTAGTGTGGGTAGAACATGAGTAGATAGTTGATGTGTGATAAACAGATGAGAGGCCCCGATGTTGTTGTTGTTAATCTAGTTATTCAGCGGAGTATGAATTAGACCAAGAGGTTAGTTTTAGATCCGGGAGTACGGATCAGGTAAAGAGATAAAACTTGTTATTAGTCTGGGAGTATGGATTAAGACTAAGTTAATTGTCCCTAGTCCGGGAGTATGGATTGGGCACAGTTATTGATCCGGGAGTATGGATCAGATCAGGATTAGGGTATAGTTAATTGTCCTTATTCCGGGAGTATGGATTGGGTACAATTATTGATCCGGGAGTATGGATCAGATCAGGAGGTTAGTTTTAGATCCGTGAGTATGGATCAGGTAGTTTTAGATCCATGAGTATGGATCAGGTGAAAAACGTTAGTTTTAGATCCGTGAGTATGGATCGGTGAAGAGGATAGTTTTAGATCCATGAGTAGGGATTAGTTAAAGAGGAAAATTTTAGATACGAGAGTTTAGATCGTGTCGTTGTGAGGATCAATGGGGTGGAATAAGAGTTGCCTTTATATGGTGAAATTGTACAAGTTTGAATGTTCTATATTTATAAATATATGATATAACATTGTGGGATGAAAACCCTATATGCTCACCAGGCTCCCAAGCCTGACCCACTCAGTTTTCTTTGTATCACAGGTATCGATACGAAGACATATTTCATAGAGAGATTTAAAGGAGATATAAATCATTGGTGTAATTGAATGCAAGTTCTATTTATGCTTATATGTCTGTATCGGAACATGGCATCCCGAGGTTTTATTATTAAATGAAAATACATTCTCTTTGAGAAATGTTTTGATAAGTTATTATCATATCTTGTTTCGGGAACAAATTCCGCAACCGTTTTCTTTAAAAGATTTCTCTGATATTATAAAACAAAGCATAAACAAATATGTCTTTTCTGTCCGTAAAAATGGGGATGTCACAGTGAGAGCCCGAGATGACTCTTTATCTTTTTTTTTTGTTGTTCTTCAGCCCATTGCAATTGTTGCAAAGTATCATCATACATATACGACCCTCTCAAGAAAAGGGTCTATCGGATCACAATAGTAATAATCAAGTTCGTTGCACAAGCAAATATAGAAATTCAAAGATGAACTCAGTAAAATTCAAAATAATTTGTAACTCTTTACCAAAATTCAACAATCATCCATGATAATATATAAACCCTTCAACTCCGTAGAGAGCTACTTGTCAGTCCGCAGAGCTGCTTGCCAATTCGTTGTCATCCATACATTACAATTATTTATTAAAAGGTAAAAATTATTAATTAAAAGGTAAACATTATTTATTAAAAACTAAACAACGCCAACAAACCAAAACTAAGGTTACCATAAAACTGAATACAAACTAATATTCGTTGTGATCCATACATTACAATTCCAGTAAATTGTCGTGGAGGTAAGACGAAAACACTTTCAACTGGTATTTCCCAATGCATAAGGATTGGAATTGGATTCACCGTCTCAGCTTGAAAACCATTTCAATATACCGCGGTAGTTAACTTTAAATTTACCATTTTCTGGATTTCTGCAATTTTAAGCCTTTATAGTGATGCTATAGCGTGATCACAAGGTATATCACATTTTTTCCATTTCCCGCAAGTGCAAATATCACGTTCTAATTGCACGGATTCGGTGGTTAAATACTTACTCATTTCATATCTGTTGCCAACAATATGCCCAACCCTACAACCATCAGAGTGGTTAAATCTTTTCTGAAGCACCTTAAGTGCATATAGGGTTAGAAGACCATGAAATTCCCCTATGAAATGAACTAAATTAGCAAATAAAATTATGATGTCATAATGTATAATAACATTTCATTATTACCTCCGAATGCAGCACGTTGACCATACACTCCTTGCATCAAGTCATAGACCATTTCAATGACTGTTGTTATTGGTAAATCATGCATGTTTGTTCTTATCCAATTGACAACATCGGGAATGTCAATGAATTTAACATTGAAACGTACTTTATGGAAAAAAGCTTGTACCCATTTTGCAATGGGAAAATTGTCAAGCCAGTGAAGATCATCCCCATTCACCTAATTTTGTAAGATGTTCAAAATGCATACAAATCAGACATATTATACGTTTTGCATGTCTTCAAGAACAACTGCTCCACAATTGTATTGCTTCTGGTGGAACCGCAAATAGCCATGATATGAATAAGGGTAGACTCTCCAAACTGCAAAGTCTATGTACTCAAACATATGGCTTATGAAACCAATTTCCGTATTGTCACCTAAACATTCTTTCAGCCTCCTCATGAGCCATACTCATTACTCATCATAGTTTATGGTTCCCAAAGCAAATGCTATGAGAATGAGTTCATGATTTCCATCTAAAGCAACCGCAATGTACATGAATGTTATGTACGTCCCAATTAGGGGTACCTGACCAACAAATATGATTGGTATCATATACGTGAGAAATGTACGAATCTGCAAGTAAAGATAAAAATAATAGCCATATAACAACTTCAAATAACAAAAATTTTACTATAAAGTATTACATACCATGCATCCCAATGCCACAAAAAAAATTGGAAACGATTGTACAAATCTTTCTTAATGCACGTGAAGGTGTTAGGATTGGTTCTCTGCAGATTATGAAAGAAAAGCGATAGGTTGGAGAAACTTTTTTTTTTGAATAGCTCATTGACTTAACTCATTTTCACAACTTTTAACCACTTCTAAAAATGAAAATGGTAGTCCAATTTAAAAGGAATCCGTATTCATTATTCCGCGAACTGTTTAGGCAATCCATAGAAATGACTTGTTAGTCCGTGGAAATTACTGAATTGGCAATCCGCATAAGTAAATGAATTATCAGTCTGCATAACTGACTTGGCAGTCCACGTAACTGACTTGGCAGTCTGCGTAACTAACTTGGTTGTCCTCATAACTGACTTGGAAGTTTGTATAACTAACTTGGCAGTCTACGTAACTGACTTGTCAGTCCGCGTAACCAATCTTGTCAGTCCGCATAACCTACCTTTTTATATAATAAAGCTTGTATCTATATGAAATTCATATCTTTTATTCACAAAAGGGATCCTTTCACAAAATGGCATCCAATGTACCAAGTTCTTCAAATGCAACAAATCCGTTAAATGCAGCAGCTCCATCAAATGGTACACGTCCATGGACAACAAAAAAGGTGTTGGTCCTAACACAATGTTGGATTACCGTTTACGAGGGTCTACCAGCAATGGCTCCCCCTCATTTCCTTGTTCGTGATGAATGGTCCCTCCTAATAGCTTTGTTCAATCATGAAGTGAGAGAAGGACAAGAACGGATAAAACTCGATATTGTTAGTAAATGGATGTATTTAAATAATAAAGTCACATGGTTCAATCAATGCTACAATTATGAAAAAATGTGACGCTCTCATGCAGACGATGAAGAACTTTTTGAAGACGTGAACGGATATTACCTTTGCGAGTTTGATGGAAATTAGTTCGAGTATAAGGAAGTTTGGGATCTCATTGAAAATAAACATTTTTCATGTGGACGACTCTTTTATTTGTAATGTTTTATGTAATGTTTGTCAGTCCTACATCTTATTCGTAATGTTTGTTTTTTTTGTTGTTTTTTTTTTTTTTGTAATGTTTTTATGTTACTTGTAATGTTTTTTTTGTTTGCATGTATCCTAATATTTTTTGCTGCATTATGTTTCAAAAAATAAATGATAAATAACATAATACAAACGTTAAAAAAAATCAACCATAGTACATATAAATAAAGCAATACAAATGCAGTACAAGTTAAAAATACATGAGATCTTTCAAAAGATTCAAAGGGGCTTCATAGTCGAAAATCTCACCATTGCTAATGGATTTGTATTCTTCTTTAGCCGACTCCAAGATGTCTTCCTCAGTATCATTCACACGCGCTTCTTCAATCTTCTTATAAAGATCGTTGAATAACACAACTTGTGTTTTCAATTCATACCATTTTGCTGCTATATCAAGCGTGTTGCGATGATTTTTTAATGTGGTTTCAGCGTCAGTGTTGAAGGTGTTGCTTAAAAGGAGCCAAAACATTGTATCTTCCAAATTATTGTTCTCGTAGACATTAATATATGCACGAGTTAGAAGAAAATACTCCTTAGCGGTCCATGCTTTTGAACCCATTGTAAAAGATACAAAGTAGATGCAGTGATATAGATTAGATGAAATGATACAGATTTTGGGGTTATTTTATAGTGAAATGGCAGTCCGCGGAAGTGACTTGACAGTCCACGAAACAAATATAATAAAAAAAATAAAATACATATTTATATTTAAAAATTAATAAAAACAAGTATTTCATATTAATATATACAAAGTTCCTAAAATCAAGTTATATAGTATCCCAAATAATATTTGTCATCCTATTTCTATAGAGAAATCTCATATCTCTACGTGGCTTATCAATCTTCACCGGTACCCCCGAAACAATCAATTCCATAAACATGCACAATCCCCTCTATCTTCGATGTATACCTGCTGTGGTGCATCTATAATTTCAACAAACTCCACAATTGCATTAGCTTTGTGTCCATCAGGGAAATCGTTCCAGTACTCAATCACATATAGCTATGAGATAATACTATCCTAAAAACTTTCAAATTCTCCACCAATCTTATACTTGAGAAGAAATTCATAGATCGTGTTGAATCATAAATGTGTGCTTTCCAAGTATTTAAATGTAGCACTGCCAAAAGCCAATGGACACCAACAACCTTTATGGGGAATAGAACCTGCAAACAAAAAAATTAAATAGTCGTAAATTGGGTATTATATATATATATATATATATATATATATATATATATATATATATATATATATATAATTATTAAACTTAACTAACTATATCCACATCATTCCATTTAGGATAGCCTCCAACACCATTTGCTACATTCCTCAAAAATGATTTTTTGGGTTGCAAATTGAGTTCTTGAGGGTATATCGTCCACCTTGCGTTCGCCGGTCGTCTTTCCATGAGCAAGACCCTGCATATTGCAATATGCTATATATTTTAAGATAAAAATGTTACAATTATTTATATAAATTATCGTCAAAAAAAGTAGTTAAAATTTAACAAGTGTTACTGAAGAAATTAACCACTCGGATTCAGTAACTGCAAATAACCTTGACCAAAACTCCACATCCAGTGGGAGTATATGCAGCTTGTGTGTAGTGTTAAGGTTGGAAGAGATCATATTCCATTATTTCCAAAAACTCAACGTACTAGCAGTATAAAGACTGTCTAACAGTAGATGATTTGAAACATCATTACTATCTTCATTCACAATGTCTTCATTTTCTTTTTCTAGACACTCCACTGCTTTGTTTTCCTTGCTTTGGTGATTTTCTTCAGTTTTTGTATGGATTGGATCTAAAAAAATTAAAATGTTAAATAATTATCAATAACATAATATTTTATAAATACACAAAATTTAAAATATGACTTTTGTACCAATGTGAACGATGTTCGCTGATACCATGCAACACCCATCTTTCATTGTGGCCTAACAATAGGTGTCACTGTATTTTTGAGATGTTGACCCACGTCCGGTGACAGGTCAACATGCGTAGGTGTACGCGCAACTTCCCCCTCCAAACCATGCGTAAATGTATCATCATAATGAAACTGTATACCATGGTAATATGTTTCTTCCTCCTCTTCATTTACCATGTCTTCCTCCTCTCCAAACCTTGTATCTGGTTCATCTTTTTTCTATAATACATGGTCTACTTTAACCACAACGCCTATTAGACTCTTCATCAATGCTTTCGTGCTCGTCTTCTTCTTCTTTATTGACCTTTTTGATGTGTCAGTTGACATATAAGTTCTTCTACTTTAGGCTTCTACGAGGTAGAAGCATTTGTGGCTGTTTCAGTCGAAGATGTTTCTGACTTGGACTTCTTTCTTCGAGGAGGAGAGGCAATAATAGGTGGAGTTTGTTGCCATGGGGGATATTCTTCATGGTTAAGATTCCAAATTCTCATACCGAATATATAACGGCTCCATGAACTCCGTCTCGTTTGCCATGACAACAATAGAATGGTTGTTACGCTGCAAAAATCAGATTGTTAGTTTAACATGAAAAAATATTGGAATTTGTAATTATATATAATTATAATATAAAAAGCATACCACAGACACGTTGATTATTCGACGCTATTGAACCTAAGATAACGATGTTTTTCTTCTGCACGATCTCATTTGTGGCAATTCTATCGGCATGCGTACGTAATACTGTATTGCCTCTGGAAACTTCTCCAAAATCCATATCTATGGAAAGAAAAAGGTAAGTACAATGCTATTATGGTATAAAAAACAAAAGTATGATAAGTATTTAAATACATTAGAAACTAACCTTAAATGGAAGCATAAAATGGGGAATAATATACTTTTGTACTTTCTTTGATTCTGGATTGGCCTGCTTGAATATTCTAAAATTTTCTATTTTCTCAAACATTTCACGCATCAACCCTAAAGTATAGGTCTAGAAATATGTACCCCATGCAAACCTGCAGTTTCCAATTTATTTATTATAATTATTATTGTATTTAAACACAATTTTAAATGTAATAACTGTTCCATTCATCTATATTATCATCAAGCTTGTATACTGCCACATGAATGCCCGTTTTAACGTCTCGTCTGTGGAGACCTTTCAACATAAAAACAAGCTGGATAAGCATTACAACATCTTCATCCTGAAGTGCGAAAAAATTTGGAGACATAATGTAGTCTTCTAAATCTTTGAGCCACAAATGTGCATCTGTAATGTATGAGAACAATCGAGCACAAAGATTTGAATTTGAATGACCTCTTTCATCATGGAGTAGATCCACATAAGGATCAACTCTTAACCAACTAATCAAAATATATTCAGTTTCACCAAAATCCAACTGCATCCCTTATATCTCAAAAAGAAACCTCCATGTTTCAAACACTTCTTGAAACCTTACTTCATGCAACACCATCAAAGGCACAAGTAAGGGGTCACCATTGGGGACATGCATTCCTAAGAATCTTCCAAACGGTGAAACTTCAAATAATGCTCGTTGCGATTCTGTTAGGCGTGTAAAATTAGGGATGTTATTCGGGTCGGAACCGAACCAAACCGAACCGAACCGAAAAAACCGAAAACCGAATAAAGCAAATTGTATGAACCGAAAACCGAACCAAATAAGCAATACGGGTTCGGTTCGGTTCGGGTATTATTCGGTTCGGTTCGGTTCCGACCCGAATAACCCAAATAACATGTGCAAGATGATTAAGGAGTCGAATAACCCGAATAACCCGAATATTTTGTAGTCGAAGAACCCGAATAACACTTGTAGTCGAATTACCCGAATAACCCGAATATTTTGTATTACTTTTGAAGCTTATGATTTCATAAGTATATAACCCGAATAACCCGAATAACATGTACAAAATCATAACAAATCTTTTAAAGAAACAAACTAAACACTAAATATTAAACATCCAAAACACCCAAAAATCTATCTATAAGTATATAACCCGAATAACCCAAATAACATGTACAAGATGATTAAGGAGTCGAATAACCCGAATAACCTGAATAAATATTGTATTTTTTATGACTTTTGTAGCTTATGATTTCATAACAAACTTTTTAAAGAAACAAATTAAACACTAAATCGACTCACGCAAAGCCGCAAGGGAAAAAAAGACTCTTCATATTCGGTTCGGTTTTTTGGACCGAATAAACCCTTATTCGGGTAACCCGGACCGAATAACCCGAAAACCGAATAAGCCTTATATAGATACCCGAAAACCGAATCGAATTGCTTATTCGGGTCTAATTCGGTTCGGTTCGGTTCGGTTCTCGGTTCGGTTCGGGTTTTCGGCCCAATTTCTCATCCCTATGTAAAATAGTCTTTAATGATCGTACCGACCACACATTTTAAAGTTAAATCTGTTTTTTTGATCGAGATCATCGCGCTACAAAACATATACATTTAATTTAATATAAAACGTTAGTAATCGAAAATAAAAAAAACAAAATTTTAAAATTACATAGTTAATTCGGTTTATGAAATAAATAACAACATACTATTTATTTAATTAATAATTGATATAAAAGGATAGAAAAAAAAGGGAAAATATATTTTAGGTCATTACGCGGAGGTTAGAGGTCATTCTGTGGAGACCCCTCTACGGAGGGACCTATACTTCCGCGGAAAGACATTTTACCCTTTTTATTTCATTCCGCAGAGAGAATACGTCAATCTGCGGAGGTCCCTCTGCGGAGTGACCTACCCCTCCGTGGAATGGATCTTCGCTAATTTAAAACCAGTTAATCATAAATCTAAATTTGTACATAATGCAGGTTATCAATTGCATTTTCGTAACATTTGAATCTTAAATATAAACAATATGACATTAATACAAAGAGGGAAACGTAAAAATTACCCGGGAGCCGTATCCATCGGCGAAAATGTTGGGGAAATTCCGCTCCATCGGTGCCGGAAATTCATGGTTGACATCTTTGTCGTTGGAAAATGACATGTTTGAACTTGTTGTCGCCGGGAAATGACGAGGTTGAAGACGATATCGCCGAAAAATCGAATAACGCTACCGATGCGGAGAGAAGAAACGAAAAATGAAAGTCAAAGAGGAATGGGGGGGGGGGGGGGGGCAGTAGGGGGACCAAAGAGGGGACCCGTTTTTGTTAAAGTGGGGAGGGGGAGATTACGAAAATACCCCTACTTTGGGGAGATTTCGCCGTTCCGCAGAGCCCATAGAGGGTGCTTCACTGAATGCATATCTATACTTGGAATTTCGTGTTTTTGTGACTAAATTTTAAAATACCCCCCCCCCCCCCCCCCAAAAAAAAAAAAAAAAAAAAAAAAAAAAAAAAAAGAAAAAGAAAACTATAGCCGACATTTTCCCAATAAAAATTGGATAATCCAAAAACCAAATTTTTTAAAACCGGTTTTGTCAGATCCGTAAGTGAGTTCACCGGGTATATAAATAATCCATCCAAAAATGGAAACTGAGTCCAATTTAACTGAGGTCTAGTTTCAATAAAACCAAACCGGATTTTAAGAAATTTGTTTCGGTTTTAACTAGGTTTTATGCATCTCTACTTCTAAGAAGAAAAGATAATTATAATTAAGAGATCATTTAGTAAATAACTATTTAAAAAAGAACCATAAAAGTAAATACACATTCTTTCTAAAAATAAATAAATACAAATAATTATTCGTTTATACTTCAAACAGTATCACTTACTTTTCAATTGATTTATAGATTTCAAATATATTCAAAGATAAACACCAGAAAAAAGCCTATTGAAGCCGAATTTAAGTCTCGCGTTTACATTTCTAGTATGATGTCTATGTGATTGAATAAGAAGCAATAGAAATTGTAGATATTATTTTATATTGTCAAATACCGAGTTTTCAAATCATAAAAAAGTCTCATTGTAGATACTTTGTCCACAGAAATTTGAAAATGTTTATATGTTTTTATTTTCAAATCAAATTGATCTTAAGGCTCATGACAACTCTTTTTAATGGTCAAAAGTTAATAAAATCAAACATAACCGAAAGAAATTCTTATATGAATAAATATAATCGAACAACAATAAAATGCTTATTGGTTACTGAGAGGGTTGTAAAGGAGCATGAATAATGGTTGTTCATGTTCATTCATATAAGTTAGTCGAACAAAAGAACGGATTTTTTTGTTAATGTTTGTTTGTTTTACAAATTACATTGTTCATGTTCATTCGTTTATGTTCGTGAACATGATAAACGAACATAAAAGAACGAACGGAGATAAACAAATATAACTGAACATATAGTATAGTCATGTAATTAAACATAGTTAAAGATATACAAACATAGAACATAAAATGAACTTAAATGAACGAACATAAACAAATTTAAACAAATAATATAAACGAAAGTTCACTAAGATAAGTAAACAAACATGACCAATGTTCATATTTGTTCACTTAACTAAACGAACGAGAACTTGTATTCATGTTCGTTAATTTATTAAATAAATGAACATAAACGAATTTTTCAACAAACGATTTACGAAATGTTTGTTGAATGTCTGATTCATTTATACCTCATTAGTCCGATTCATTTATACCTCATTAATAGCAATTCTAGTCTTCTTATGAACTTTCAAATGTAAAGTTGTCGGTAGATACAAAAATTTTCAAAAAGTAATGGCTCTTTTTGAACCCTTCAACATGAGGTGTAATGAATGTAAAATATCAATAATTTGTGGGTGCTGCTAAAAAAAACTAGTCAACCACTAACCATGCACACGAACATGAGGGGTTAATTTAAGATTGAGATTTTTTATTTTATTTTATTTATTTATTTATTTTAATGTACCAAATTCGGCTTCTTATCTTTTTATTTGGTAGGTTTTTTTTTTAATACTTTTAATAAATATATAATGTTATTTTTTTGTTGGACTATCCTTGTGTTTATTTATTTATTTATTTTTTATTTTTGTTTTCATCATTTTTAATAAATATATTATTATTATTATTATTATTATTATTATTATTATTATCCATTCAGATTATTTTTATGTTATTTTTATTTTTATTTAGACTATCAATGTGTTACTCTTTTTCGTTCTAATTATCACTGTGTTGTTTTTTTATTCCGACTATCTATGTGTTATTTTTTTTGTTCGGAATATTCATATATTATTTTTTTTAATTCAGATTATTAAAAGAGACTTCTAATCAAATCTATTTTTTAAAATTATAATGATAATAGTAATAATAATAATAATAATAATAATAATAATAATAATTTAGAGTAAATATAGAATGGATTACATAGCAATATAGAGTAAATATAGAGACTTTAATTCACTTACTCATCTAATATTACAAACAAACGGAGCAAACAAAATAGGTTAAATGCATGGAATAGCAATGTACTTTTGTTGATAAGTTTACAACAACATCTTACTTTCTCCATTCCTTTAGCAAATACCTACAAAAAAAAAAGAAGATAAACTAAAAATACTTTAAAACCCATTGAATGTTGTGGAAAAAGAAAGAATGGGTGCCACGATTAATCAACTTGTATCCACTAAACCAAAGTCAACCAATTTAATCTATGACTACAAAAGAACGAGTATGGCAAAAAAGACCTCGAGTTACTTACAATAGAACCGTGTGAATGAGTATGGCAAATGGGGGGACCATTTGCTTTCACCTCTTTAATGTTTGGCAAACTGGAGAGATTTGCCCCTGAACATTAAAGAGGTCTCTCCTATCGAAGCTCCTAATAACCATAATGAAAAAGTTATGAGATTCATCACATAAGCATTACTATAGATGAAGAAAATGCATTCGCAAAGCAATTAAAAGAATGTACTGCGAAGAAAGAGAAAACCAAAACTGTTGAAAATAAAAGGTAACTATAAAATAGTATGCAGGGGCATTTTAGCCCAAAACTATTAAATCAAAATTTTTAACTATAAAAATAGTATGCAGGGACAGTTTGCTTCAAAACTGTTAAAACCAAAAATTTTACTATAAAATAATACGCAGGGACAGTTTGGTCGTGAAATCTAAAAATCAAAAATTTTAACTATCAGAACAATACGTAGGGTCAGTTTGGTCCAAAACTATTGGAATAGAAATTTTCTAACTACCAAAATAGCATGCATGGGCAGTTTACAGAACTATATTGTCACACCTCAAAACCAGAACGGCAAAAACGTTCGGGGGGCGGAGGACGTCATGTTTAGTATCACAAGACATGCATCATAGTAATCAAAGTAATAAACAACCATTTCATTAGAAAGAAAGTGTTTACAAAGTATGTGGTTCACAAAACATAGACTACATATGTAAATAACAAAACAAGACATGAAGCAACTATGCTCCATCTTCAGAATC